ATTTCACATAACTGGAATGTAAGTGTGGTGAAGCCAAATAAATGTAACATCTGCCTGCCATACATGAGCTTCTGCCTGTTGAACTTATCGGCTGCTGCTCTGCTGCCCTCTCATCTTCATCATCTTCATCATCAGAGCAGACCTTTTACATTAATAAGATGGATTTATGACTGAACGAACGTCCACGTCTTTTTTTATCATCTCTGTGAGTAAAAATACATAAAAAACAAGTTTTTTCTCTGACAACTTGGGTGTGAAAAACTACGGTTGTTAAAGCTTCGCTCTGCATGGCGTGCAGCGGGAGGGAGGAAATGATCCCGCCACACAACGTAACCTTTCTACAGCGAGAGGGGGAAATTTTGAGGATTTATTCTCTCTATACGTGTTTTAAAATACTATTTCWTCATTTRATTTCAAACTCCTCCTGCTCAGTTGTCTCTGCACTCACAGCCCTGTTGACGCAACTTCATATAGTTTCTYCTGTCTATCACATATACCGCGCAGCCCTAAGCTAAAAGTAGAAAGATGCTGGCTAAGAGCTAGAAGTAGCAAAAAACAGTGATAGGGTAAACGGTTAAATGATGCAAAACTGTAGCTAAAGGTAAAAAGGAGCAAACAGTAGCTAAAAGCTAAGAGGAGCAAACTGGTACGTAAATGCTAAAATTAGGAAAAATACAAGCTAAAAGTAGCAAAAGGCTATCTGACAGTTAAAATGAACAAAAGACTAAAACAGAGCAACTATACAAACATGATTTCGAAGAAATTGAGGAGCTCTTATTTTGAAAAGTATAAAAGTTACAAAAACTAAAGTCAGCACTCATCTTCTGTATGAGCTGAATGCTTTGATATATAAACAGCTTAAAAGAATAGTTTAGATTGCAAAAAATGTATGTTTAAAAAAAAGGGAATGGAAAAACAGGAAACAGGTGAGGAGCATGCTGACTCAGCATGTGATGTTGGTAATGGACAGATGACCTGTGTTTTATCTCCACGTCCTGCAGTGGTTTTCAGCGCACCAGATGTTTTAAGTGCACTTAGTTAATAACACAATGAACCAACAGACACTMTTCTCCCTCTAAATAGTAAAAAACCAGTAAATTTAACGTTCTTATCATAAAACTTGATCTAATGAATCTATGCTTCTGTTGAGTCTTATTTTAATAATGTGTTCTAACAGGAAGACATTTTTCACGTCTCTAAAAACAAACGTTAAGCTGAGTTAGACGGGGTGTTATTTTTACTTTGGTTTGTAGTTCACACTTTGCTCTGTTCTGCCTCTAAACTCAGACTGATGTCAGGTTTTAAAGGTTTTAGTTTTTATCTGAAGCTGACGATCGTTTAAATATGTCCCGCAGAGGATGTAGCAAAAYCAGATAATTGTTTCAGTTTTCTTTGTGGGCCTGTGTTTGCTGAATACTTCCTGTTAATTACGGTTATTATACGTATAAAAATAGAGCAGCTTTGATGGATTTTGCTCAGGCTGGGTGCTTTATGTTMAAGAAAATGTAAAAAAAAAGTTAATTAAAAGATGAAAAACCTCCAACACGTCGACATTGTTGTAAATCTTCTCTCCTCCGCCTCTACAGAATCGTTTCCTCAGAGCCAGACGGCYGTGATCATCGGAGGAGTTTGCGGTGCTTTAATCGTCCTCATCATCATCGCCGTAGCTGCGTGCTTCGTCATTCGGGTGCTGCACAACCGGCAAGATTACGAAGGGTGAGTCGACGCCGCCTAACGTTACATTTTCACCATCGCTGCAGAAATGTGACACAGGAGTCTGAATTCACTCTTTTATTGTGAAAGTTTAACCTAACAGTATTTACATCACTCTAATCTAACTCSTGCATGGGCCTCTTTCTTCAGCTGTTAGGAGGAAAAATAACTTTTATTGAAGTTTTTAGTTGTCTAATCAGCATGGCTTTTGTGAATCTTTGATAATCTGAGTATACGATCATCGCTGTTAGCATTAAGGCTAATTCAAAGCTAAAAAGGTTTCTTTTAGCTTTTGCTCGGGTGTTTAAAAGACAAAGTTCCTGAGGTGTTCGGGGTTTGCTGTTGGCATGGTGGTGCCAGTCATCTTCCTCCATCCCTCTGTCCTCGTTAACGTCACGCTAACATTTCCTGCTAACCTCGTTAATGCATTCATGTCTCGTCATTCACTGTTTTCACTCGCAGTCGTGTCGTCTGATTCACAGTGAACCTTCTAATAGTTGTGTAATCTGAGCAGATCCCTCGTTGGATCTTTGACACACATCTCCTGTTTTGCAAGAAAAGTTTCTGTTACAAAGTTAGCTGACGTTGCAAAACGTCAGCGAAGGTTCTGTTCAGAACAACAAAAAAAGAAACATATGGCTGAGCTCATGTTAAGAATGACTCTCAGCTACTACCACACCACATTTATTAACACTAACYTATTTTAGTGAGTCCACTAGTGTTGATGAGCTGCGGCGGCCATCTTTAATTCTGTCYTTGCCGTAATCTGATCCGTTGTAGACATTAAACCCAGAGATTAATCCACCCTGTGCTGAGTTATGAGATATTTTGCTAACAGTCACACCACAGTTAGTGCTCAGATTATGTGGTGGGGATTATCCTCAGCTACCACCACACCAAATTTGAACTCAGTATCTGTTAAATTGACTGAGTTGTAGACCTTTTTGTGTTTATTAAAGTTGATTAGCTGTGGTGGCCATCTTTATTTGGGTTAACAAGTTGTAGATGTACGTTTCATTAACAGTTCACTGCTTCATGACAWATTTTGCTAACACACTAACAGACTAATCTCTCTACTAATGATTACTTATTTTCTTTTTCTATTATTAAATTTGTTTAACTGCTGAACTGATTACAGCTAAAAACATTTGTTTATGTCGGCTTATTGCTAAAACTGTTATAGTTAATTTAAATATTTGAGTGTTTAAGCCACAGTAAGATTCAGTTTTAGTGAAATTAAGTGATAAATCTTAAAAGTCATTAAGTATTTTATTATTATTTATACAATTTATTAGACTTTTGTAGATCAGACCAACAGTTTTTATTTAACAAATGTGTCTGAGTGTCTTTAAAAGCTGCTTTTTCATAGAATGTCAGAAACTAAATGTTATAAAGCTGAAGTAAATCAAAGGATRGCTACATTTAAAAAGTTTAATAAATATCTGGTTAAATTTCTGATTTAAAAACAAAGATTTAAGTTTAAACATCTATAATAAATATTTTATCACATATTTTATGTTTCCAGGTATAAATTACTCATATCATTAACGTGTCCATCTACAACATTAATCATGATTTTATTTCCAGTACTAATTATTTAAAAGAGATTTTATTTATTTATTTTATTTTTCCATGGGTGTCGCTCCGTTCTGRGCTCCGCTGCATCGTTTCATGTTGCTCATCTCTCATTGCTTTATTTTTCTGTCTTGTCTCATCACCGCCTGTGTTTGTGCACCAATGACTGCTACTCCCACACCCTGGCAAACCCTAAAACCCCCTAAAACTAGATGTACCACCTTGGAAAGCGTGAGCTCTCAGGCTCTTCGGCTGCAAAAGAAGGCGGAGTCCAGCCGGGAGGGCTCCACGTGTTCCAGTCCCTCGGGTCCAGTACAGGTAGGAGCTGGGGGACCGAGAAACCCACCAGAGGCCACACAACAACAACAAAAAAAATCTTATTTGATACATTTGATTAGAAGATTTATAAGATTTCTGCACAATGTCTCAGTTTTATTAAACCGGGTTGTATTTAMCTGGTTTTTTTTTTAGGTTTGTGTGATTAAAAAAAAATCACAAAATAGCTTTAAAATCACCTGATTAACA